TGTTTTCCCAACAATAACCAAGTACTTATAAAGGCCTCTGGCGCTTAACTTGCCATTTGGGTCACAGAATCTATATATCACACATTTTGGTGTCACACCGGGACAAAGCGTAAACGCATAAAATGGACTAAATACACTGTTGACCACGTCTTATTCAGCTGCCTATTTTACCCTTTAGTTCTTAAACATTTTTAATTTTACATTAAATAATTTTTTTTATTTATTACATGAAATTATGACAGCAATTATGAACTGTGCATCATGAACACACAAGTATTTATGCAACAACACTTACACGGACTTTAAACTAGTTAGATGTACATGGCAACCACAGAATGGCCACGGCTAACACTAGTCTCAACGTAGCAACTAAGCCATGGTAATTTTTTCAGCAAATGGTGCTAAACTAGCAACTGGGACATGGACACAGAAAAGTTTACATTACATTAACACTGAAAATAATCGTATACCTATAATACACGACAAAGCTGCACCAAAGAAGCACAGGCCAAAACGGATCGAGTGTGAAGCGACAGTTCTTTCAAACGACTGTTGTGAGAAAATTCCAGAACAACTGCGGGGTGGTTGCTATACATTCATACCAATAATTTGAATTTGAATTTGAGAGAGAGAAAGCCAACCCTATAACCCAGAACATGGGTCACTCTTTGAAAAGTAACCCAGAAACCCAAAAAATCCAGGAATTGTGTCAAAATATTAGCCCTATAACCCAGAAAACGGTTACTCTAAAAATAACCTATAATTTTAACCCAACACAACTAATCCATAAAATGGGTTGAAGAAATAACCCAGGAGTTTTTAGTGTGTACCATCAACATCACTGACATGCCCTCTTGGCAGCTCTACATCTTTGTCCTCTCATGGATTGAGGGCAGACTGGACGCTACAGTGACTCACTATCACCTCATGAGGTACAAAGAGGAATTACAACACAGGACGGGCTGGTGCTAGCAGGTTAGCTTGCTAACTTCAGTAGATATCTCTGCAACACAATACATAGACGTTTTTGACATGTCAGAACCTTTACTTCTTCACATTCTATTGATAATGTTAATTCATTATCTTAATGTTTTAAACTAAAATTCTTACACATTGCACCTTTAAAGTATGTAAACTGGTCAAAAGATTTACGCTTTCATACATAAACATTTAGTTATCTTTTTTTACAGTATACAGACAGGAGAAAAATTTAAGGAATAAATGAGTAGCAAAATGAGAATGTTTAATCCTCCAGTAGCTGTTCATTGAATCTATGCAAAGCAGTACTGAAGCTGTTCTGGAGGTTTGTGGCAAATAACATCTTACTAAGACCTTTTACATTGGTTTTTCCTTTAATTTGTCTCAGTGTGGAGATGACCCTGGAGATGAAAGTCACCACAAATGCTGCATAACTCCTGAGCTTGCATCATGTGCACCTGCACGTGCAGATGTTAAACCTTAGTGGCTGAACTCATGCAAGAGGCATTTTTTCATTAAAGACATTTTGACATGTCACAGTAAGACACACGTGTGAATAAAAATGAATGATGGTTGGATGAACTGTTTAGCTGCTTCAGTTTCTGGGTTCTAATATTGTGCATACTGGCTCACTGGCACATTGTCATGGCTTACTGGGACACTTGAATGTAACACTGTTAATGTTATTAGTTAGAGCTGTTTTCTGCAATGACAGGAAAAAACAATCTCCTGTAATAAAGACCTATGGCCTCCCACTCTGAGGTCCACAGTAGGGGAAAGTAATGGCAAATACATTTTCTCAAGTACTTGTACTTTATGAGTATTTCTAATTTTTGCTACTCTCTACTTCTAATTGACTTGATTTCAAAGGGAAATATTGTGCTTTTATTTGACCACATTAATCTGACAGCTATATTTACTAGTCACATTTGATTTCAGTTTTCACAAACAAAACATATAATCAGCTTATAACACATGATGCATTATTATAAGTAGTTAAGATTAGCTTCACCTTAACCAGATGCAACATTAAAAGGCTGTTTACATGTAAGAGGCCATAATTCAGTGAGTACTTTTACACATGCCCTTTACAGATAATACTTGTGTACTTTACTTGTAATGGTTAACTTTTACATAATGTGTTTGCACTTTTTATTCAAGTAAATAATCTCAATACTTCCTACAAAAGTGGTGGCACACACTACTCACACACAGACAGCAGTCAATAGAGGAAGAGAATAGACTGGAGGTCTCTGACCACAGCATCCTGAATATGCCTCCTCTTGGCCCCAACACAGCAACATACAGCAGACTTAGCTGCTGCACTGGCTGACATACATACATGTGTGGGAGAAAGAGAGAGAGAGAGAGAGAGAGAGTGAAATGTAACAGTAAGGAAATGATGTGCACACATGGTTCCTGCTGTATATTACACAGTAGGTAGTGGTAGTTTTGAAGAGACAAGTGTCGGTTGCAACCAAATCACTGCAAACCACAAAGTACTAGGGGATCAAATGTCCTTTTTGTGTAATCATGGTCTAGGTTTGACTATTTTCAGCAGTATTAATATGCGAGACACGACAGATAGAACTTCTGCTGGCAACGGCTCCAACACTGAACCTGATCAGAGCTGGGCAACAACAAAAAGGGTATTACATTTTTGGTAATTGTAGTTTACAAGCTAACAAAACGACGTGTTATTGCATTGGCGTTTCCTGTCAGGATGTATGTATGCTGAAATATCTGGCCAGGACCCTGGCCAGGATGACTCTTCATCATGCCAGTTGATATTTTGCTTTAGTGGTGCATACTTCCAAATTTACAATTGAATTTCCACAATCCAACTGTTACAGATTGAACCTAGCGCATTTAGGTTCCCCTGGGGCCCAGTTTTCAGGTACACGGGTCTTGACACAACATGATATTGCAGTGATGTGTTAGCAGTAAACAATTAAGATGACTTGGCATTTAAAAAGTGACAGATCTGTTTAACATGCTACAGCCAAGAGCGAATCAGCAAAGTTGGCTTGCAAACTGATGTTCACAGTGTACTTTTCTCCTGGTGGATGTTTGTTTGATGCACGTACACAACACATGTGCCCATGTTTGTCAATAAGAAGAGGTAAAACTTTACTCCAACCCCCTATTTAGCATTTCTAGGCAGTATATAAACATGTAATAAATGTTGACTCACTCTAATGCAGTTGTGAGCAGATATAAGTATTTATTAATGTATTTGCCAGCAACTATAACTTCCCCTGTGGTCACCCTTAAGTGGAGGTGGGTAATGAATCACAATATAGTAAAATATAGTTATATAATATATTTAAGTAATTATATAAAATATGTATTCACAGGAAAAGTTATGGTAGACAAATACTGTACTATAATAAACACTTGAATCTTGAATGGCCTTGAATCTGCTTACACCTACATTGTAGTGTGTTATAAACCATTTATTGATTATTTATATAATGCTCATACATGCTGGGGGGGGTTGAAGTAAAGTGACACTGAAGAAGACATTAGCTAGAAAGCTTATATGGGTTGTCCTTCAAAGTCTGTCCTTTTTGTGTTGTGTGGTAGCTGCTACGTGGCTGTTCACTTTTATTACCAGCTAACAATAGAACAGGTGAAAGTTTTTAAATAAGTTTTAAAAAATTATTTAAATGATTTAATTGACACAGATAGAAGAGAAAGTAAATTTAGAGTGGCTTGTCCTCCCACCTTGAAACCACAAAGGGTTAAAACTGTTACTTCTCTCTTTCTCTGCAGATGGAGGAATCCACCCTGTCGGACCGCTACTCTGACTCTGATTGTGTGCGTGCACGCCAGAGCCATTTATGCGCGTGACAGTGTGTATGTGCGTTAATGAGTTATGTGTGTCTGTGTGTGGAAGACATATAATTATCTGTGCATGTGTTGGTGCCAAGCTGTGGAAGGCACCGTACTTTCCGTGTCCTGCAGATGAGCAGATGAGCACACACACACACACACACACACACACACACACACACAAATGCATTGAGAACCAGGGGAAGAAAATAAACAAGAGAGAGAGACTGCCTCAGACAGTTACGCAAATAAAAAATCTGTCCTTGTTTCACCTAAATCAACTTTTATGCCATTGAAGTACAATGACCTGACTTGAACTGTGAAGCTGGTGATGAACCATATATAGATTTAACAAAGAAACAAATATTTTTGTGTTTCTTCCTGTGTGTTAAATAGATTTTGTGTCTTTTTAATACTTTCTTTAAACGTATTATGAATTAAAGAACTAAACACACTTGATGAAGACTAAATACTCAAAAGAGGACAATTGGTTTTTGGTATAATGGATTTGCTATGTGTTGTTTGTTTAAATTTTTATAATGTTAATTGGTAGAAGTATTCATACCCTTCACCTAAGTTGAAGTAGTAAAATCAAAGCTTAAAGGCAGACTTCAGGCATTGTTTGAGGGTTAAAACTCTCCAGAGACCCTTCTTTTTGTACTTTGAAGAGAATATGCATGATGGGAATTGGCTGTGTCTTTAATAGATGCATTGCAAAACATTGCCAACCACGATAAAGGTTATTACCCTGTTAAAAGTGTATCTAACAGGAGCAGCTGCAGCTGTGAAGCCTTTATGTCAAATGAAGAACTGACTCCTCAAACTGAGAAAATGTCAATGGAAAGCACATTTGTCTGTGAAGTAATTGTTCTATTTAAGTTCAGTTAAATCACATTTCTAACGTATTTTTTATTGAACCAGTTTAAAATGATTTGCAGTGCATTATCAGTGTACTTAAAGTATCAAAAATGAAAGTAGAAGTTGAATTTAATAGTAGTAGTTGATGTAGAGAATTCATTTGAACTACTTTTAGTGTTAGTTGTTAGATCTGTAACAATATGTCATATTTTATAAATTGATGAAATGCAGTTTGAAAACCATTCATCTACAGTTACCCTCTGAAAAGAAGTAAACTATGTACAATGTAACAAGAAATGAAACTAATCAACAATTTATATATCACTCAGTTTTATGTAAAAAGATGTAAAAGCTTTATTTACAGCAGTTTAAAGCATTTAAAACCAATTTAAACAGAATAATTACAATATTTTCAGTGTACAATAAAAGTATAACAAAAAAGACATCATGCTGCTACAGTTGTACTGGGTCATTTGGAGTCGTTCAGATTAGTTTCTTTCTGCATGAACAGGCTCCAACAGATGCATTTCTGTACAGCATTTTCAGCAAAGCATAACACCCCACGGTGTCTCTGGGTCCCCTCCGGGTGTTCTATCTTTTCATCAATTCCAATGATAAAACTATTATATAAATGTTTATTTTCCTGTTTATATATCATAGACTCTGAATGATTCTCCTGTTCCATTAATTCTAAAAGCTCAAACAAGTACAGCGGCTCCAGCAGTGTTGATGTGAGTCAGTAAAACCCTGAATGTCACAACAGTTTCTGTATTTTAACACCTACAAATGATAGGTGGTAAATCAACACATTACCAGGTTTCCATATCAGTTTCAGAAGACGGTAATTCATCTTTCAGTTTCCTCCCTGCCATGCTCTCCTCTCACACTCCAGCTGTAATACAGTACTTCAAAATGAGGTCTTAGGTTTCACATGGCACAATATCAGAAATCAACATGCAGTCTCACAGCGTTTTTAATGTCACAGCAGAGGAAAAGCTAAGCAGGTATATATGGTATACAGGAAGACGAGCCTGAGGATACTGTATGTCACTAATCCGAAAAGTTTTCCCCACCAGGAAAGAATTAGGACCAGAGGAAACACAAGTAGAAACAGAAAGTAGTGTGATACACTGTGGTGAAAATGTAACCTTGACGTAATGACATGAGGTTTTCAATTTTAGGATATGTTTCATGTTCTTAATGGTGAACGAAAAATGGACAAGTGGCTTTACCCAGGGGCAGGTTTAAAAACTTTTGAAAGGGGTGGGTTGGGAACTTGGGCACAGTGCACATTTGTAAAATCAGTGTTAAGCCTGGGTTCTTGGCAACAATCGTTTTACATCTTTTTTGTAGTTGTTTGATTTACTGCGCAACAAGAAATGTTATCGGTCACTTCATAAAGAGGTGGTCTGGTACGCCCACTCAGTAATTCACCCAAGATACCAATAAGCCAACTAGCTATCACCTTCTGATTCTGGCATGACAGCCACCTCCTGGAATCTGAATGGCCACCCCAGGTTTTACCTATTGGTGCTGTTGTCTATTTGTGTACTGGGATGTCTCATCCTTCGTTACATCTGGTATCTTTGTCCTCAACACACGGTTTTTGTGAGGCTGATTGTCAGGGGGGGCTCATTTGTAAGGATATCTGCACCTGTACAAAAGCCGGTTCCTCTGTTGACTTTATCCACTAAAATTAATCACCCATGTCTTTACCCTTTACATAATGTTAATAAGCTTCAGTTTAGGACTTCCCCCTAATAGCTGACTAAACCGTTCCAATGAGAAGAGTTTTCATTGGGCAGTTAGTCGCAGAAAAGAAAACAACCAACCGAGCAGGAGAGGGGTGAGTTCACAGCGAGTTAACATTAGTAACATTATACATAATCCATCGTGTCGAAGTCTTTGCTGGTTGTTTCCTGTTATTTCTCTGTAATGTAGCACAGTGTCGGCTAATGGCTTGAACTAACGACTACTAGTTGACTAGGAAAATCTTTAGCCCGACTTCAGTTACAGAACAGACAGCCTGACCCATCAACTCATTAAAGGAAGTTTGGAAATGAAACTTTCAGGGCTGAACAGATAATTTAACACACTGATGACAGAGTTGCTAAAATGAGTTTAGGGATGATGAAAGCCAGGATTGCACTTAATCTGGGATGCATTCATGTTGACACAACTGTGCAAACATCCAAGCTTGGCTCAAACAAAGAATCAGATGAATTTGGTGGTCAACTGTGTTACAACAAACTTCTTTTGCCGCTGCTCTGATTTGCTGTTCTCATCTACCTCACAGGAAGCGTGCAACAGTGATGAAACTAATTTCTTTTTAGAAGATTAAATGTAAAACACAACACGGTATCTGCAATGCTGATAAGAGACTTTCGTTTGAAACAGATTAAGTTCCACTGAAGAGTTAAGCTTTAAATGCATCAAGTGTGACTTCTGAAACTGAACTTCTTGAGATGTTTTCTGACACTAATTGATGTTGCCAAGCATAAAATAACAAATTACATTTCCATTTTTATTCCAGTCAGGCGAAAGCAGAAATTCACTGTAGCTGATGTGATTTTGTGATTGATTGGTACCAAACAAAACAACATACAGTATGGCAGAGAAATTGTTAACATTTCACTTGTACCATTCAAAACAAACCAGGAAACAATAGTTTTGCACATCTCTTTGGTTGACATTCACACTGCATATATGAACCTTTAAAAGACAACGTTTGATGTTTACTACTGTGTAACTCAATGGGTAGAACATGACAAACCCAAACCCACTGTGGTTTATGGGAAGCCCTGTTTGGGACCGTCTCATCCCCTGATGAACATTTGCCAAACCAACCAGTTGGTCTTCAAGTATTAAGTAGATTATTATTCTGCTTCATTATGATAGTGATAGCTGGAGAGGGACAGGAAAAGTAGGGGAGAGAGAAAGGGGATGATGTGCAGCAAAGGGCCCGAGCCGGATATCGAACCCAGGCTTCTGCGGTAAGGACACAGTCTTGATACATCGTACATGTTTTACAAGGTGAGCTACGGGTGGCGCCATGTTCAAACAGTATGGTTTGATTTTATTAGAGAAAGCTTCAATGATGAAGATTAACTGGTTGGTTTGGCAACCGTATATCTGGTCCCCCACCTCCAGAAAAGAGAAAAGATCCACTCCCCTTGCTTCCCTTCTATGTGGGACGCATCGTTCATGCTGAACATGTATGTACTTGTATTTTAAGATGCTTGGGTTATTTTTTTCTTGCACAATTCTTCTTCACTATTGCATATTCATATGCTTGACATTGTTAAGTAGTCAACAGAGTTAACAAAAGCAATTGTTAACTCTGAACTGAAACCCCCAAAGAAGAAGAAATCCATATATTTGTATACAAAAGAGCAGGCATTTCATACATTTTGTAGAAAAGGGTTTCACACTTACACTGTTTATGCATTTTAGTAATCATAAGACCTGAAAAAACCATGGCCTACTTTTGGTAGTTCCTCACATGACAACCAAACTGATGTGTTTTAATGAGCCTAAAAAGTTCAAAGATAACAATCAACGTATTTAATCTGAAGCCTGCATCACTTAGCTAAATAGTCAGTGACAAAACCCTCTTTGACTCTGCATGATTCAGTGTTTGGTTGTTGTCCAGAAATCTCTCTCTGAGAGTGTTTAATGACCTGGCAAGCATAAGGAGACTTGGCTGGGTCTGAATCACTGTGCTAATAAACGGATAACATGACCTTGTCAACAAACCAATACTTGCCAACTAAATTCAGTCTGGCTGCTAATGTTATATCCAGAGGCTGACACAAAGAACGATGGAAGACAGTTCTGTTTGATCAGTTACAGTAGAAAAATGCATTGAATATTAAAGTCAGAGTCAACGTAAGGTTTGTAAATGCGGAAGATAGAGGCTGAGTAAACAAGACAGCAGCAAATGACACTGTTTAATGGTTTAAATGTTTGTCATAATTTCATTATTGATTTTGTTCATCAACTTGCGCTTTTGTATTTCACTCCACTAACTGGGCAGCTTAGTAACAAGCACTCAAATCGTATTATTGCATTGACAAGTTAAGTAATCTACTCCTGCTTTTGATGATCAATGTGCAAAATCTTTGTTTTAATGCTGAATACAACCAGAGCAAAGAGTGAAGTGAAACTCTTTAATGCTTAAAAAACTGTAATCTTTTAGGAATCCACGTACAGTGATTTCATTTGGTGATAAAAGCGATTCTAAAGTCCTTGGAAATTTATGAAGTTAGATTTTAGTGAACTGAGAGGAAGTCACATGCCTTCAGCTTTCAATCTGGTTATAGTGGTTACAGAAACACACCGTCTTTTCGGTACAGAGGAAGATTGGTATCAATTATTCGAATGTTGGTACAGTATTATCTTACTGGTATCAATGGGTGAGGTCATAGTGTCTATTGTGTACCAATTACTGTTTAATAAGTTGTAAAGTAGTCATGAAATCCGTGGATAAAACATACTAGCAGAAATTCAAAGAAAATGGTTTGTCTTTTTTTTTTTTGTTAAATTGCATTACAGATTACGTTATTACATATTTGCCATTTGCCAACGGTAACAGGAGAGCTACTGTAGTTAAAACTTGACCAAGAGTATTGAAACATGACACACAAAACAAAATAAGACACTTAATCATCAATGCAGACAAATTCAATTATAAACTGCATTTGGACAGGATTCATTAATCTAGGGAAAGTTGGGTAATTTTCCTATTGAATGGGATTATGGGCCCAGAGCACATTTTTCTCCCCTACCACAGAACGATTTACAGTCCAAATTATTTTTTGTTGTTTCATCAGCTCAGCTGGTGATGATGATTTGCCCTCCTGTCCTTTACAATTCACATACTGTAATTTGCCACCCAGAAAATGTTTAGGTGCTACAGCAAATATTTTATTACCCACCTGGAATATTAATCCTGTCCAACTGGGGCTTTAGTTGGAGAAAAATACAGTGTGGCATGGCAGACCGCTGGCTCTTATTGACTAACAATGTAGACATAGGCAGACATGTAATTCATTGTAACAAAACGTTAAATGGCACAGTAGTTTCAGAACATTGTTGGATAAAAATGTTGGGTTAAAATTATTACTTTGGTCCAGTTTGTTCCCACACAGGTCACAAGTCTGTTGCATGCTGGATCCTGACGTGATGGGAGTGCAAGATAATTTTTTTCCTGCCTGAAACCTTCAGGATGAAAAGATAGGGGGAAATTTTGTGCACTTGACCCACAAACTTTAACAACCCTGGGTCGGCAGAGTTGATCGCCTGAAGAACTCATAATCTCTGTACAAAAACAACTTAAAAGAAGCTAAAAAAGAGTAAACAGGAAACTGTACAAGGCACGTTTAAAATTCCACAGGCGTAATTTTGCACGGAGGCATATTTAGGTGACATGGCGGCCTCTATGCTGGAAAGGAGTGTAAATCCCAGCTGTTTGGTAAGGCTCCGAGACCATAATGGAAAAACAGCTGTGAAAAAGCAAAAGCTCCAGGCATTTTAGAGTTCCTTGAAGTTGAAGTTGTTAACCAATTATCTCCATCAAAATTAAACAAAGTCCAAAGTCTCCGTCACCAAATGGGAAACTGGAATTAAGGATGGTAAAAATTAGTTCCCCATAAACAAAAGATCCAACAACATGAAGATGAAGAAAAATGCTACGTCTGCTGGGTTTTCCAAAGGCTAAACCTGAGAGTGGTCCTGGCTGTTCGTACTGCCTTGCAAGTAGATTATCCGTCCAATCAGAAGGAGCAGAAGGCCCACACAGAACAGCATTGTGGGCTCCTGGCGGATGTGCGGCAGTGGGTTAGGATAGATGACAACCCGTCTAAGTCTGACTGCCTCCCTCTGGAATAAAAAGGAGAAAGAAGAAGAGATGTTACAGTATTTACAGCATGGTAGCAACCTGAATGAAAAATCTGTTTCTCGAACAGAAAAAAAATGGGTGGAGACACATCTATATATATATTGACACAGAAATAGTCCAGCAGTAAGCATGGACATGTCAGGGGAGGTAGAGCAGGAAAAGACATTAATCTTTAACTATGATTATTTGGATTCAACGGACTGATGTTATCAACTGTAGCTAACAGCTAAATAAGGTAAAGTTAGCTCAATGATTCTGTTGAAAACGCTGCCACTGACTTGTCAGGTGACTCGTTTTAAAGCCCTAAAATTGTGTTAAATATGCACTTGATGGCGTCATACATAATATGGTGCTAAAATATTGCCAGCCAAACAGTTAGCATCCTGTTAATGACTCATGAAGAAGACATGCAAATAAAGAAACAGCATTGTTCTTATATAACAGTGTAGAGGTAGTTAGTCCTGTAAGATCAGACTCTAGATAACTATGTTTGCCTGCTTAGCTTACATAGTCAGACAAGCAAGAGGTGATATTTATCTTTTATTGTTTGTATTTCAAATCCATGTAAAAGAGAAAATACTTTTAGGATGAAGACTAAACAATGTGTTGGGCAAACATAACGCTATCTATGATTAATACATTTGGCTGGGGTTGTTGGAGGGTAAACTTCTCCAAGTATTTATGTGGTTAATGAGTGAAAGAAGAACAATATTGTAGGTTGTTTTATTTGTCTAAACTCAACCATCTGCTAAGTGTGCTCTCATTTTTACAAGATGTGTGAATGTGTTGTGATATATATCAAATATTCAGGTAAACACCCTGAGGTCCCTTGATGATTTAAAATCAAAGTGACACACATGTTAATGTTTACATCCACAGGAAACAGGTAAGTACAGTTCTCTACATCCTGCCACAACTCTCTTTACTTGAGGTCTCCAGGTGTGATTTCCTTACATCCGTGTGTATATGAATGCATATGTGCAACATGCGTTTATGTGTTTGAATTCGTCTGAAGGCTTCCAATCTTTCTGACTAGTTAAAACATTTTTTATTACATTTCCGGTGTTACAACACCTACTTCTTTAAACTCTTATGGGAGGCTCATTCAAGACCAAGAACCAGGAGTCTGCAAAAAGCTGAGTCTAGCTCGATTTACACTAAGATTGTGCAAGGTGAAATTCCGGCTTAATTGTGCTGTCCAGTCTTTAGGCATTTCCTTCAAAAAAACGTCATCTTCAAGTAGAAAATTGAATTCACCTGCTGTAGTTTTGGTTAGGACTCTAATTGTTTCGGCATATTGCTTGGCTCAACTGTCTTTCCTGTCACTTGGTATTTTGAACACCTCTCTGCAGTCATTCCAGGCACAATTGGCACACTGTTGACTGAAACAGGTGTTTTCTTTTCTGCTTTCCATCCATGCAGTCAAAACCCCCGTGCCTTGGCCTCGGACCATCGCTCCAGCAGCAGCAGCAGCAGCAGCAGCAGCAGCTCCTTACCAATAATCCCAGACGACAGAAGAGAACAAACATTTCCTCTGGGTGGATGCACACCGGGAAGCTTGGCCATGAATAAAACACTCCAGAAACAACAAGGTTCCTGTTGCTCAGGAAAGGTGGTGGTGGCGGTGGTGGTGGTGGTGGAGGGGAGGATGGAGGGAAGGGTGGAGGGGGGGGGGGTCCTCAATGAATGATTTTGCTAATACCAACAAATACTTTTAAGTAACTAAAGCTTTAGTTACTTACCATATTTTTCCTATTAGCTAGTGATTGTTACGTGTAAAAGGCTGTGGTTGCACTATGCAGCTTGCAGGTGTAAATGGTTAAAAAAAGGAAACCTTACACTCTAACTGAATCATTTCCAATATTATTTAAGGCATTCACAAGAGTAGGAATCAGTTTTTCCACTGGAAGATGGATGCCCTGGTTTGGCAAGAAGCCCTTCAAATACAGCCCAACTGGATGGACTGTACTATACCATCCAGACATCGACTGGCACAGAATAAGCCTTTTGCCCTGAGGCGACACTGTTCTCTGAAAAACAGGATCTTTACGGATGAGGAATATCAAAGCTGTGTGGTTTGATTTGAAAAGTGAGCCAAAAGCCACAGAAACCCCTAATGCCAGAGGAGGAAACAGGTGAGGGGAAGACTAGTTAACCCTGTGGTGAATCACTCTGCTTCTAATTCTGCTTCTTACTCTGACCAGGTCAAACAAACAGGTCAGAGATGATCAAAGACCTCCCAGAATACCGATTTGAACAAGACTTGACAATTTCCTCCACAGAACCAGTCTAACAAGTATTATAAAAACTATTATAAAATAATTATGAATTATAGAGACTCATAGAGAATGAAATGCATTGTAGAAAAGGCGTCCACAATAGCTGAACACAGACCACAATGCAATACATCTAGACAATGTATTGGGTTTGTCCCTGACCACACATACAGGCTCAAACACTGGAAGCATGCAGGATGCCATTCACTGTGAATGAAACCTCCAAATAACATTCTAGGGCCACCCACAGTGACTCAAGACTCATAAGACTCAAGCCCAGCGGTGCAACCTGGAGAAGTTAATAAAGGCAGAACCTTATGCTAACTTCCTCTTAAGCACAAAACAACAACCTGGAGACAACCGATCACACTTATTTCTTTATGATATAACTTAACTGAGGAAACAGGATTTGAATGAGAAAAACAATGTGATCCACATTGCTCCAGAAATGAGCTAATTCATTTATACGTCCATATGTCCATAAGTCCATATGTTTAAAGAAGAGTCATCGACACTGCCAGACACGTTGACTAGCTAACTATCAAGCAATATTTGCTGGAATCCATCATGATCATATTTGTTTAGCAGTTTGGTCAGTTCACCAATTTGCAAATGTTATAACATGCTATAAATTATACCTGCTAAACATCATCATGTTACCATGTGAGAGTGTTAGCATGCTGATGTAAGCAATTCAAAGCACTATGCCTAAGCACAGCCTCACAGAGACACTGATGTGGCTGTAGATTCTTGTCTCATTTTATTATTGATTGGAGATTAAATTAAATTCACCATGAAAACTGGACTGCCTGATTTTTCGTTTAAAAAATGGCACACATCCATTAACACATATGGAAAAACACTTTATTCTGACACAACACAAGATACTTTTTATTCTTTCATGGGATGCTTTCCCCAGTAATCATCACCTTATGAACTTTCTAACTTTAAATCAACATTTGAGGAGACACTTAATGTAGGAAGTAACTGAAAAAGTCTGTAAGACTCATTTCACTGCAACTCAAACCGAGCCCCATTTCGCTGAATGTCATCAAGAGACTGTTGTGTTTGGCAGTGAAAGGAAGAGCAAACTCTCCAAACATTGATTTTTTGGGGGATTTGGTTTCATCTCCAGGTTCACCATGTGAACTTCTGCCATTATCATAAATCTAGACTTGTGTGAGTGTAGCAGTTCAAGCGAACATCTATTTATTCCACCTCTTTCATTTGGCAGCATAGGAGCGCAAAAGCGTGTCATTTGACATCACAGATTCTGGTGAATTTTCAACTGAAGAGCAACTTCTGTGAAATCAGAAAAGGGCTGATACTATCCTTCAGTAATTTATTTTCTCATTAATCATATGTCATTAATTATGTATTTCTCTTGTGAAAACTTGACAATTATTGTTATTAATGTTATTTGCTTGCAGCAGCATTTATCACATTACACATTAGAGAAATGTCGCTCCTCAAAGCAGCTTTGAAAGACAGACACAAGCTTTGTGGTTTTTAAGTTGGCAGAGTTTCTGTGCTCTTTCCTCACCTCATGAACCGCTGTAATGATTTAACTGTCAATTTGGTCTGTAGTTTGCAGTGTGAAGGAAGAGTCCACGTTGTCAGATTGATGACTTTCAAGACGAAAAGGAAACTTACTGAAAGCTTGTTTTACTATTACATGTTCAATTTGTTGATCTACTGATATCAGGTGTAACTATGAAAGGGTATAGTAAGCTGTTTTGGTTAGCTTTTATTTTATACAGTTGCAAAGAGTACACACTTTTTATTCCATCATCCCCACTACAACCACAATCTTCAAAAAAGAAGCTCTATTTGAACAATTGGGATTCACAGCACCTGAGCGAGGAAAAATCCTTCCACATTACAGCATATCCTTCTCTGTGGTCACAGTCAGCACTTATTATATTTTACGTCAACAGCTAATGAGAGTGCAGGAGAAACATAACAGGAGGATGTGGTGTATCAGGGAGGAGCTGAGAGTGGTTTGACAAAATTGATGCATTTACATCTGACCAAGGTCTGTATACAATGTGTTTCAAACCATCTCTGGATCAGATGGTAAGTGATCAGATCATTGTTTTACTTGAGTAAATCTTGGGTGCATTTTTGCCTGGATTCATTTATATTAATTATTATCAGATAGCCGTCTGATAACAGAAGGTGCATGCAGAAGTTTCTTCAACTGGTTTGAAGGTTTCAAAGGAATAGTTTGACATTTTGGCAAACACACTTACTTGATTCTTGGTAAGTGTTGAGATGAGAAGATCGATATCATCTCTCTTGTCTGTATGGAAAATATGAAGCTAGAGCCAGAAGGCTATTAGCTTAGCTTAGGATAAAGACCAAATGCAGTGGAAAACAGCTACCATTGCTCTCTTCAAACAGCTACCAGCACCTCCAAAACTAACAAATGAATATGGTGCAATAAAAAAAACCCCGTAATATCAAAAATGTTACTGTAAATCAGAATCAGAATAGGTTTTATTGCCAGGTATGTGTGCACATACGAGGAATTTGACTCAGGATTGTACATTGCTCACGATGTGCTTACTTATAAAATAATAATATAATAATATAATAATAATAAAATAAAATCAGACACAAACTACAGAGTAGACAACACTAATATACACACTATGAAAAAAACAATATAGACATATTGACAAATAGTGCAGTAATGATGCAGG